AAGGAAGGAAGGAAGGAAGAAAGAAAGAAAGAAAGAAAGAAAGAAAGAAAGAAAGAAAGAAAGAAAGAAAGAAAGAAAGAAAGAAAGAAAGAAAATCTTATGTATGTGTGTACTTTTTCTTTCTTATCACATTCTAGCCAAGTTTTCTTCTGTAAATCTGGGAAATCAGAACCAGAGAGAAGGTTGAATGGCATTTAATACAGTTTAGTGACTGAGATTTGTGTCTTAAAGGGACATGCCATATTGACAACAGCAGTGAGGCCGATGTGGAAGCTGCCCCCGATCCGTTCCTCTGCCCCTTTGTGGGCTCCACAGGCCCTGTGTACTTGAAGGGGAGTGTCTATGGCCCAGATCCATTTGAAGTTTATCTTCCAGGTATGACTTTCTTGATTGACTGGAGTTCTGTTCTCTGAAAAGACTTGGAGGCATGCTAACTGTATCTCCTTCTGTTGTGGGTCCCAACTCGAAAAGGTTGCAGTTCTGACCCCAGGATAGCCTTGATGGACCACTGTGAGCCCAGCTACATGAAGAAGGACTGCTTCCCGTGCGCTCATCCCTCAGAGGAGCCCTGTGATCGGAGCCTCAATAGCATCCCGTGGCCACACTCAAGAAAGCTCATGAACTCCATGTACTCTCAGAATGAGGGACCTACCATTCAGACCCTGTGTTTAAACAAGTCCTCCTTGGATTTTAGTGCAAGTCAGGAACCGGGATCAGTTACTTCAAGTAACTCTTTCATGGGTAAGTTTATCAAGCTGGGAAACGCCTTGCTTCTCTGACTCAAAACTCCATCCTGCTTTGGACAAGGGTTTCATTTCTAATGTTACTGTGGTATCCTCTGGATTGCAGATGTTTCTGAAGTGCATTCGGGGCTGGGAATTGTGTGTGGTTATGTATTTAATCTGTACCTAAGCCCCGGGAGCTTTCTGGGTTATGCTGTGTGTGGCATGGAGGAGACAAGAGTTGGGGGAATGACTGAGGAGCTGAGCCTGTCAGCCATGTGGAAAAAGTGGTTTTGGGTCCCGGCAGCCTGAGGGGTGGAGCTGTATTCTCTGCATGGTTGTGGTTTCGTACGTCTGGTGGCTTCTAACTGAACTCACAGTGGAAGCCGGGAACGCGGCACCCTACCTCGCCTGGCTTCACACAGTTGAGATAATCTTGGGGAGAGGCCCGCAACGCTCACAGAGAAAGCCAGGGCCATTAAACAACAACTAGCACCTCAGGTAGACTGTGATTCCGCCCCCCCCCTCCCCGTCTCGTGTGTGGGAACAGTTGGAGGGAAGAACCGAGAGTGAATGCTCTTTTTACTGAGCAAAGCAATCAGAAAACAGGCCTCCACATGCCCCGGTGTGCTCTGGTGTCCTTGGCTTGTTTTTAAAAGGAAAATTCCAAACCATTTTCCTTCAGCGTTTAAGAAATTTTACCCCTTGTTCCAGTATGATTACGTATATACCTTCCCGAAGGGGAGGGGGAAAAAATGAAAGCACGTTTTGTAGAACTAGGGTAGAAGTTTTAGTTCATTTGTTGATGTTTTGCTACAGTTGAAAAAAGGGTAAGACAAGAGTCTGTGGAAAGACACTGGCTGAGTATTGTGCAATCGCCCTTCCTGGAGATCCATGGGCTCACAGATCCTCAAGCCAGGGCTCCGGGACCATTTTTCAATTGAGAGACTTCAGGAACTTCAGTGTTCAGTGACTAATGTTACTAAGGGTCATGAGAAAACATTAAAATGGATTGATTTATGTGGTGGTTTTGAATAAGCAGGTGTGCAGGTGTTCTGTGCATAGTGTTCTGTGATAGTCTAATATTCTGTAAATAGTGTATCTACAGCAACACCTACACCTGCATAGGACTCTGGGAAAAGAAACTTATTCACATTTGTGGAAGCGTGCTCGCTCTTTTTTCGGTGTGTTCATATCTGTGCTGGCAAAAGGCCCCACGTGCTCATGGGAATTTCTCCCCTTGCAGGTACCTTTGGAAAACCTCTGAGGAGACCTCACCTGGATGCATTTTCGAGCTTTGTGAAGCCACCGGACGGTCAGCCGAGGCCCTTTCATGTGAAAGCAATTTCCTCTCCCGAGCTGGACTCTGAGTCAGAGGAGGACGAGAAAGACAGGACAGATTTTCGGGAGGAGACTCACAGGTGTACTTATCCACAGATATCAGACACTTACAGGACTCCAGACTGCCAGCCTTGTGACTCGGGCACCTAGACTGGACGGGAACAAGGGGAGTCGACACACTACCTCATCTGGGCTTCTATTTAAGAGACACAGAATCGAATCCTATGTTTTTAAAATGGACTTACAAAGTTTAAAAAAAGGAAAAAAAAAAAGCTTTATTTATACAGATGAACCAAAATTACAAAAAGTTATAAAAATTTTATACTGGGAATAACTTTCATATAAAAATGCGTTTTTAAAAAGTATTTTATAACTTCGTTTTATATGAAAAATATCTTATGTAAATTAATGGCGTAAGTCCATGACTATTTTATGTATTTTTATAAAGCCAGATTTCTTTTTATTGAGAATGAGTACTGAAGCCTTTTAAATAATCCTGCCTTACCCCCACCCCCCCTTTTTTTTTTGGATAGAGGCCACTTCATTCTATTTTGCACATTACATTTAATAAAATGTATCATTTGGTGCCAAGCCCCATTTATACAATAATAGATTTTACCGTTTTCAATGCGTTTTGGACCTATTTCATTTGTATTATCACATGTCAAATGAATTAAAAGTTAACGTATTAAAGTACAGCCAGAGGACCCATTCAGCCCACCCCACCCCGTGATGGTTACGAGATGGACGTCACGCGATTTGCAGCCACGCACGCTCCAGGAGAAGGAGTTGCAGCCATCAGGAGCATATTCCTAACGTCACAAACAGAAGAGGATGCAGCCGTCCGGTCACAACTGTCGCTCAAATGACTCCACAATCCATGTTTCCTGAATAATTCTAATGCCTTGTGGCCCAGTACCTAATGTCTATCGCAGGAGTTCCCACCCACCATGGCTTGTGTTATAGCCAGAAGGCTCTTTATCTCCTGTCTCTGCTGTGGAAAGGGCCACAGGGAAGGTGAGCTTTCACCCACAGTTATTGTGGGATGTCATCCCACTCTTTCCTGCCCTTACTAGTCTCTAAGGGATTGTGGTTGGTGTATACACAGTGCCGTGGTCAGGCTGTGCACAGTGCTTCTAAAGTATTTTGAAGCATTTTTATTTTTTTTAATGAACATATTTTACTGATTTTGTCATTGCCAACTCTACTTCGTTGAAATTTAAGATATTGAACCTGTCACCTCAACACTTATAGTCTTTTAAGGTGTTTGTCTCAAGCAGTATGAAGGGAGAACGCTACATCCCAAGCTCAATCACGAAGGAAGGAAGGAAGGAAGGAAGGAAGGAAGGAAGGAAGGAAGGAAGGAAGGAAGGAAGGAAGGGGAGATTTTCAACACTACCCTCACTGCGAGCAACAGAACAGATAAAACTTACTACACTTGACGTCTCTGGGGATAAAACTGGACATTTATTCTTAGGAGACTCTAGTTAGTGCGTGCCATTTAAAGAAAACACTCCGGCCCAAGATAAGATGCCATGATGGGAGTTAGTGTAGCAGTACCGAATTTAAAATAATCAAAACTTGAAGATGTGTGGGTTTCAGCCATTTGCATTTTTTTTTAAAGTAAACTAAAAATAGTACTTGGGAAAGCAGGATCTTCTGCGAGGACACAGTGGAGGTAAGGTCTTCCTGCTGGGTGTCCTTCTCTATTGAGAGTCAGGAGCCCAAACCTAGATCACAGAAAGCTTCCCCTTTCATTTAGACCTGGGAATCAAAGACAGGAAGTGCATCCCTCCCTGGACAACCAGCAACCAGTGGAAGAATTGATTTCCTGTGCTTTGTCTTCATCAAACTCAGATAAATTTTGAACCCTTACTGTGAATTTGTCCACATAGTTAACCCGACATGCTCCGAACATGGGCTTCTTAATTATGAACTTCTTTTGAAGGAGTTTTTTTTTTTTTTTCAAAATTTGGTAGAAAAGTTTAAGTCAAGACCTTAAGCTGAAATGCTGGATTATTGGATAAAACAGACGACTAGCAGAATAGAACCCTTGTTGATTTCACAGAGGGCCCAGGTTCAGTTCCCAGCACCCTCATGGCGGTTCACGACTATCTATAACTCTAGTTCCAGGGGTGTCTGATGCCCTCTGCTGGTGTTACAAACACCAGACATACACGGTGCACAGACGTGCTTGTAGGCAAATTCACACATGAAATAAAAAGAAGTCTTTCTTAACACAAGATGAAACTGGGTTCCTCAACGTAATTTTACTATGCTGGTTGGCCAAACTTGTGGATCAGATATGAATCTTACCTGTCTAGAAAAAGGAGAACCCAGTTCCTCTGACATCAGCAAGAAGAGTGTACACTGTGTTGATACCTCCCATCGGATGAACAAATATGTAGATATTAAGTTCTAAAGTAATATAAAGGTAAGGGTGAATATTAAATCCCTTGGTCTGCCCATTTTATTTTTGTGATGCTGGGGTTGAACCTAGGGCCTCCATCAAGTGCCTTATCACTGAACTGAACCGCCATCCTAAGGTTTGGTTAACTTCTAAGTAGAATTCTTAAACTTTCAGCATAGCTTTTTTCTTGTTTTCTGGTAGAAGATCACACCTCATACAAACATATCTTCATAGATGTTCACAGAACTTCGGTTTCTTTGTCCATCCCACTCTTGATGCTAAAGAGATTTATTATGTGTGATCTTGACCTGTGTAAGATCTTGGGATAGCTCTCAACAGCATCCACAATTAGATGTATGGTTTTCATTGTCTTCCTACAGAAGAAAGGCACAAATGATTTCTCAGAGCAGGGCTGGTCAGTACCTTTCGAATATTGGTACAAAATGGAAAGCGGCTTGGTCTCCACACCCGCTCGGTAATGGGAGAGAAATGACTGGAAGCCAGTATCACAGATGTGCTGTGATGTGATGTCTTGGAATCTGAGAACTGAATGTCACGGCAGCATATGCCCTCTGTCTCCCCTGATCTCAGGATCCGAAATGATGAGACTTGTGCAATAGGATAATTTGGAACTTGTAATTTTTAACACACTGAAGAACACAGTGCCCGGTTCCTCCCAAACAAAATCAGTCTTCAAAGAGAGGACCACTCCTTCATGAATGACTCCAAAAATATCTAGTTACCAGAACTTCTCTTTCTTAACAAGGCATTCATTAAATCTGCGTCACACAAGGATATGGCAACGTGCTCCGGGAGATTTCAAATGTGACCTAAAAACCATCGGTACAATCTTTTAATAGATTCACTAGAGGGTGTGTACACATGCATTTACAGAATCATCCCAATATCTGGAGTCACTTGTCTTTCTTTTATTCTTTAAGAAATTTGATAGTGGACAGAGTATCTTTGGCAAAAAGTTTCATTTTCTGATAATTGATTTTGATATTTTGATGTTTTTTTAATATAATTGATCAAATCCATCCTTACTGTAAAAATTTCAGGTTCACTTTTTTTCCTACTCACTTCACTTAATACCAGGGATCTGATGCTTGATCTTAAATTCCATATCATCTATCCACGAATGAAGAAAAAGTTTAACTGATACTCATGCAGCTTTTTATTGTGTTTACTTTATTAAAGATTCTTAAGAATGAAAGTCATCCACAACTGTTACAAGCTAGTTCTTAGATTTTTGTCTACGATTCTTTTCTCCTTTTCATGCATCTTTGTTGGGCTTTCATGGCTGACTTTGTTTTATTTAGCTTAATGTCTTAGGTCCGGTTTGAAGACAGCACCTAACATCATGATGAGGTTATTACCATGGTTTTCATGAAGTTGGTTTATTTACTTTTTATTGTTTTTCATGTTTTTGCAGAGTAGTTTTGTTTGTTTATTTTTTATTTATTTGCTTGTTTGGTTAGGGGTGTGTGTGTGTGTGTGTGTGTGTGTGTGTGTGTGTGTGTGGTGTGTGTGTGTGTGTGTGTGTGTGTTTTGAAATACTGAAAGCACTGTGAGTGCTTTCCCAGGGAGCTACATCCCTAGGCCCCATTAGTAATCGGTACCTTTTTTCTACACATGGCCTTTTTGGTCTGTCTTCAGATCAGAGCTGAAATTTGGCAGCCCACTCATTTGCCCAACTTTATGTACATAGTTCTGTATTTTTCCCAGGTTAATCAGTGGACAGAAGGAGTTTCTCAATTATGTAACTGGCATGGTCACACGCTACTCTTTCTTGCCCAGTGAGCCTCTGTGGCTGGCACTGGATTTGTATCTAAAACGTTTGCGTTCTCACCAAACAAACTGGAGTGTCACATGACTTTGGAGCAGCGGGGTGGCTGAGGCTGTTGGATCTGGGTATCCACCTGCCCAGCGCAGTCCCAGCTCAGGTTCTGCCTCGTTTAATCATTGTCCGTCATCACCGTTCCTGTTGATTTTGCACCTGAGTTTTCTCAAGGTCTCCTGGGATCCCATGGAGGTGCCTGGAGCTCCGGCTCTTACCTGTCTCTGGTAGCGGTGACGTAGCAGGTCTCATTCCTTACTTTATTCAGTCCCTTATCTTCGCTATTACCAGAAATAGCTTTCTAAAGTGGATCTGAATGGATAAGTGTCTGTCAAAACCCTCGGGTGGTTAACTTTAAATCCTAGTTACAGAATAACTAGGTGATCCCGACGCTATCATTTCACCCATGTCCCCCCCTCCCCAGAGCACTCTCCGTCTTCCGACGCTGTAGTTTTTACCAGCCTCAGCAGTGTCCACTCACTGTCTTTCTGTTGACGCCTTTCCCTGCAAAGTCATTTCATCAGCCCCGTAATATTTATTCTAAAATAAATACTTATTCTTTTTATTTATTTTTGTTTTGTTTTGTTTTGAGACAGGGTTTCTCTGTGTAGTTTTGGAGCCTGTCCTGGATCTCGCTCTGTAGACCGGGCTGGCCTCGAACTCACAGAGATCCGCCTGGCTCGAGATCCTCCCGAGTGCTGGGATTAAAGGTGTGTGCCACCACCGCTGCCCGGCTAAATATTTATTCTTAAAATAAATATTCCCTCGAATTCCTAGGTTGGACACAAATAATTATCTCCCCAATTGTTGTTCCTCCTCACTCACCTGGCAGGCCTCTCCAGGGCCGAGCCTGTGGTTTTATCACAAGCATGTAGGCCTTTCTCCCCTCTTGCTCCTGAGCCACCGTGAGGAACCACAGGAAGTAGCTGTCCTTGAAGCCATCTGGGATGCATGACAAGTACTAAGCACCTGTATGCCAATAAGGTGATTTCAAGCAAAGCAAATAAGTGAAAGTGATAAGGGTGGGATCTGGTATTGTCCCCAAGGGCCTGTGTGTTGCAAGCTTGGTCTTGAGTACAATAAGAGGTGGCGAGTCTGTAAAAGGTGGGGCCCAGTACAAGGTCACTGAGTCACTGCGGACATCCTCAGGAGGAATTCAGTCGTTCTTGAGGGACCTGCTAGTTCCCACAGAGGAGAGTTGCTTCAAAGAGCTTGGCTAGCTGTCCCCATGCTCTGGTGTCCTGTCTTGCCTTGTGACCCCACACTCGCTCCCATCACCATGGCGGTGTCCGCCACCTTCACCAGAGCCAGCTCTATGTCCTTCAGATGCCAAACCACGAGGTCAACTGCTTTTCTTTGTAAGTGCCCAGCCTCTGTCTCATTACAGCCCCGGAAACCAAAGTTCCGTAACACAGAGCTCAAAGTCCCCTTTTGCTTGTGTGGTCCTTTGTTTTTAAACACTCTCTAGACCCGTGGTTCTCAACCTTCCTAATGCTGCGACCTTTTCGTCCAGTTCCTCATGCTGGGGTGACCCCCAACCATGAAATGATTATCGTTGCTCCTTCATAACTGTAATTTTGCTACTGTTATGAGCCACGATGTAAATATCTGATATGTGACCTTTGGGAAAGGGTTGTTCGACCCCAAAGGCTAACGACTCACAGGTCGAGAGCCTCTTATCTGAGTGTGATGACCTGGCATTTACCAGGAACTCCGTTCATGTGCAGCGTACCAAAGGTAAACAGATGTGTCCAAAGATTTTCCTTTTCCTATTAGAAAAGTAAATGGCTCCACGTGACTGTACGGTGTGGAGGTGGGGACGCAGTTGTCACTGCGTCTGAGAGCTGTTGCTCTTTCTGTGTTCTGATAGGGTCACCAATGCCCTCTATCTATAAATACAGTTGCCAGAATCATATGCAGCCATGTGTATCATTTCCAAACCTCGCCTCTTCATTTTCCACTCTCAAGTTTTCTCAATCAAAACTTCTAGAAGTCATGGTTCCTTTTCTGCCTAGGAGCACACTCAAATCTAGTTGAAACTGCTTTACCCAAATTACTGGGACTCCGTTCTCAAACTGAGTTCTGTTCATAATCCTCACTATTCCAGACATGCGTTTAATTGCACGGATCCTTATTAATCTCTGCTTCCTCTAGCTAGACTCATGCTTTGCTGATTTTTCCTTTCCAGATTTCAGGAGAGCATCTCAGTGGGAACCCAGGCTGGCTTCCACTTGTAATCCTCCTGCCTCAGCCTTCTAGGTGCTAGGGTAGATGTTCATCGATGGTCTGTCCTAGCATTGGCTTTGCTTATGGGCATTGGGATTCATGTTTGCAAGTTTTCATTTTCCGCTTTTTATATCATTTATCATTTTTTAGTGATTTAGTAGTCATCTTGTGAAGCCTTCAGGAGCTGGAGAGGTGCTCCATGGTTAAGAGCACTTATTACCCTTCCAGAAGACCTAGGTTCAAGTCCTAGCACCTAGAGGGCAGCTCACAACTGTCTGTAACTCCAGTCTCAAGGTATCTGATGCTCCCTTCTGACCTCTCGGGGTACTTGGCACATCCATGCAGGCAAAGCTCCCTTACACATAAAATAAAAATAATTTAGAGCTTGTTTGGAGGTCCTAACAGGGAAGGGCAGCTGCTGCTATACTCATGACCGAAGACTGGTCTTCTTCTATTCCGGGAAGTTCGTCATCTTTGACCAAGTGTACAGCTTTGGGAGGGATGCAACATGGAGCAGTGAGGGAGGAAGGGAGCACTCGCCTAGCCAGCCAGATCAGCCGAATCAACCTTCCTGGCCATCAGTGGGGTGAAGATGCAGCAGCCAGATTGCTCTCCCATCCTAGCCAGCCTGGTCTACAGAGCAAGTTCCAGGACAGCCAGGGCTACACAGAGAAAACTTGTCTCGGAAAATAAAAAAAAGAAAAAATTTTTAAAGAACTAGAATCAGCTTTCACATTAGCCACTTAAGATTGCCTGAGCACAGGTCACATTTAGTCATAGACCTGGCTGCCAGCTGGATTTGGGTCCTGTCTGCCTTGTTCCAGCACTGTGTACGGTTGGCACATGTCTTAGACCTGGCCAGTGGTCACTTCCTCTTCCTGATCTTTCCACAGACACAGAACCCTGCTGAGGGCTCAGTTTCATGCGGTGGCAGTGAACCCATTCCCACTCTGCAACGTGTGGGGAAAGTCCTGGCCCTCTCGACCTCTGGGCCAGTTCTACAACTTAGAGCTCTGCAGAAACCAAACCGGACTTTAGCCTCTGCTCCTGCTCTGCTTCTCTCTCTCTCTCTCTCTCTCTCTCTCTCTCTCTCTCTCTCTCGTGTGTGTGTGTGTGTGTGTGTGTGTGTGTGTGTTTGCCATAGTGCAGGAGGAAGGTCAGAGGACAACTGTGAAGTCATTTCCTTTTTTCCACCCTGTTGGGCCCTGGGATCGAACTCAGGTCATTAGACTTGGCGGTACGTGCCTTTTCCTGCTGAGCTGTCTGTCTCACCAGCCAGGTCCATTTCACTTTTCCTGTGTGATTGAGTCTCATGAAAACCACACACACACACACACACACATACATTTATGCATACCCACTTGTATTTTTTGGTTCCAAATGAAAGGACCTCTTCCTTGGGAGCAGGGAGAGACTACAAGCTGGAGAAGAGACTGGAACCATGGCTTTTGCAATTAGATGGCTGATAAATCAGATGTACTATGAACCCATGGTACAGAAGGTGGTAAGTTTGAAGAAGGAAATCAAGAGGTTTTATTTTGTACAATATGAGGGACTTACTAGAACACTAAGTGGAAGTTTCAGTAGGCCATTAGAAAAAGAACATATAGCCCAGAAGAGCAAAATGGTCTTTATGAAGCCATGAAAAACACTAGATCAGTGGTTCTCAGCCTGTGGGTCTCGACCTTGGGTGGAGGGCTGTCAAATGACATTTCACAGGGGTCGCATAGCAGATCTCCTGCATATCAGATGTTTACATTATGGTTCAAAACAGTAGCAAAATTACAGTTATGAAGTAGCAAATGAAAATAAACTTATGGTTGGGGGTCACCACACCATGAGGAGCCGTGTTAAAGGGTGGCAGCGTTAGGAAGGTTGAGAACCACTGTGCTCAAGGAAAGTTGTGTCTGAGGCTGGAGAAGTTACATGTCTATAGAGATGTAAATAAGAGAACCCGGGGCAGGAGGTACACAGATGAGGTGGAATGATCCTGAAAAGACTTCGGCGGGGTGAAAGGAAATTCATGATTTAAAATGTATTTAGTGACCTAACCTTCATGTAACTTGCACTGGGCACTTTTTAGAAGTATTCTGCCACCTGCGGAAGTTTAATGACCAAATAAATAAAACTTACCCCGTCATT